TGATGCTGATGCTGTTGCTGCTGCTGCTGATGATGATGCTGATGATGATGCTGATGATGATGCTGATGCTGATGCTGATGCCGATGACGACGATGATAATGATGATGATGCTGTTGCTGATGCTGATGCTGATGATTCTGATGATGATGATGATGATGATGATGATGATGATTATGATGCTGATCATTCTGATGCTGATGCTGATGATGCTGATGATGATGATGATGATGATGATGATGTTGTAGCCAACACATGCCGATGCCACGCAAGAGGTCGTGCTGGCTCCGGGCACGGCGATCCCTTCGTGCTGGGTTTTGTGCTGCAGCCCGCTGGCTAGTTCACCCGTACAAGCTACAGCTACAGTGCTCACGTCGACCGGCACATGTTTCACTTGGTGCAGTTCAAGTGTACCGCGACTGTTCTTCGATTGGTGCTCGGCAGAGGTAGCAATTCAAAGGAATTCAGCTGCGGCCAGGTACGTGGAGAAGATTGTTGAAGTTCCTCAGGCCAGTGTGCAATTTGATCAATTGACTGGCTCCTTTGTATGTCCCTTTTTTCAAGGTCATCTATGAAGAGAGACCAATTGAAGTGCCAGAGCTGATCCACGTAGAAGCAGTGACACAGGCAAGTGTGCGTCTTGAGTCTTGACAATCAATAGCCCGAATGCTATCGGAAGAGCCCTCTGCATTCTGCACTGTCATCAAAAGAACTATGATTGCCAATGTCCTTGAGGTACCCCGACCACATGTACAGTTCATCAAGAAGGAGGTACCCAAGGCAAGGCGCAGGGATGAGAAAAGAAAGATGCACCAATTCAATTGGTGGGATTGGTACTTCGTACCCTGTTTGCAAAACTTGCAAGTGCATTCAAAGAAAGAGCCAACTCTTGTCGGGACAGCTTGTTGCAGGTCATTCTTCAGCCACAAGAAAAAGTGGTCGAGGCGCGGTCCAATGAATCCAGAACTCACACATGCCTTACCACTTCGGCTGAAAGAACCGATTTTCCGAGCTGCAGTACTTTGAACAGATTTCTCAGAAACAAGGAGGGCCTTGGAGTTTCAGCCAGGGCTAGCTGGCTTGGCAGCTTGAAGGGTGTATTGCTGCAGGGTTGATCTTCAACTCAGCAACTGCCTCATGCAGGTGCCACTGACCCTGACGCAGGATGAACTGTGTGTCGCGAACTAGTGACCAGTGTTGATGGTTGGACAGTCTTTGTTACTAGAAAGTTTTTTGTTACCAAGAAGCTGCAACCATACAAAAAAAAGCTTCTTGTCACTACAGGTGAAACGATTCCCAGTGAAACGATTCCCAAGGAAGCTTCTAGTTACTAGAAAGCATGTTCAAGCTGCAGAGCTTGAACTGGAAGCGAACTCAACGTTCACATCATCAGTTCTTCATAGCTGATTGTCGACGGATTGTGCTTCAATTGTCTTGACACTTGCTGTTGGATGTTGTTATATAGTCTATTGCAGTTAGTTCTTGGCAGGAGCGACCGGTGGAGGTGCCACAAGTCCAAGTGGCAGAACTCATGGTTCAGGCATGTCCAGGGGCAAAGTCGTTATTTTTTGCTCGAATGTGTAGCGAAGGGTGCTCGTTTAACTCTGGCAGTTTGCGGGTTTGGGGGTGGAGGCGTGTTCGTGTGACATCGCCTTCATGTTCGCAACCGTCCGCCACCATCCACAACCATTTGAACGGGATCCCTAAGGCCATCCCGTTCGGGGAAGGTTTTGGAGGAGGTCTTGGATGGCAGCATGAAGTGCCAGTTTCGCAGGAAATGTGACATGCGCAAGCGTGAAGGATGGTTTTGCTGCGCAGCTGCAGCGTTTCGTGAGGTCAGCTTTGCGCTACTGTGCCATGGAGTTTGGAGGTTGAGTTTGGCTGTGCCATTGGGATTTGCTCTTGAAGCGCTTCTTTCCCACCAGAGTGTCTTGCAAGAGTGTCAAGAAGAGTCTTCCACAAGAGTGCCCTGCAAGACTGCGCCACAGGAGTGTCCCACAAGAGTGTGTTACAAGACTGCGCGAGAAGAGTGTCCTACAAGAGTGCCACGAGTGTCATTCAAGAGTGTTGCACAAGAGTGTCCTACAGAGTGACGTGCAGAAGTGTCAAGCAAAAAAGTGTTGCACAAAGGCGCCTTACAAGAATGTCCCAGAAGAATATCATCACAGAATGTCTGCCAAGGGTGTCTGTGAAGAGCGTAAAGTAAGTACAGTAGGAGTGCCAAACAAGGTTTGGCTGCTTGTGTTTGCGTACATGTGTGCATTCGGGCTCGTGTGCTTCATTTTGTTTCTTTCTGTGTCAGAAACACAACATGTGGATAGAGTTTGCGATGAACCTGCAGTTGTTTAGGTCCCAAAACCTCAAGTAGAAATGGTGGAAAAGGAGGCTCGGTGGCTGGGCAATTGATTTCCCACCGCGTGACTGAACATGTTCTTCAAGCCAGGTACCAAAGATCATTGTCCAAGCAGAAGAGAAGATTGTTGAAGTCCCACAGGTTCAAGTTGTTATGAACCATTTGAGACGAAACTTTTTGCATTTTCTTCCAGGTCCTTTTGTTTTCATTTCCGTTTTTTTCCTATGGCTTTTGACCAGGTCTTCTATGAGGAACGTTTGAAGCACGTACCACAGGTGCAGGTAGCGGAGGCAGTGAAGGAGGCCTCCGCAGACCAAATCACGGGTCATGAAACATGAAAGAACCAAGTTCGGAGTTCGGACACCAAATAGGTTCAAAACATGTCCAATTTGGTGTTCAGATTCGTGAGGCTCTAATTCTCTTGAGACCTGAGACAATGAGGATGCAATTTATTGAAAGTGCCCAACCTCAAAAATTTCGCTGGTGGTTCTTCAGATACATATATATATAAACACACATGTAACATGTATATTTATATTATATATCTGAACGAGCAATGAATGCAGGTGCCACACTACCAAAAGCAGGTAGTGCAGAAACAAGTGCCCAAGTGCCACTGGCATGATTTCGAGTGATACTTTTTATTTGTTTTCGTGGAATGACAACATCAAATGGCAGGATAGTGGAGACCAAGGTGGTGGAGAAGGCCACAGACTTGACGATGCATCACATCGCCACATGCAGACTTGTCGATGCTTTTCCTTTGCTGTTCCCAGCAGCTCAGTCCTTTGATGGGTAGTCTTGCGACAGCTGGGTTCCGGAGTTCAAACAAGAAAGAATGCAATTTGAAAAGACATGGGATATGAGGGAGGCGGACAGGTTGCTAGAGATGAAGTGCAAGAGGACGAACCCAGAGAATGAGGACTGTCAAACACCCCTTCTGGGTAGTTGCTGATGGTGGAGGCACAAGGGTATTATACTGTAGCATCGCAGGTGCTGGACATTCTCGTTTCAGCTTCCTTGCTAGCGCCAGTGGACAAGTCTTCGCAAAGTTCTATTATTTGTACAACACATTGTAACAAAAACCAGGAGGTAGGCTGTGGAACCTGTAGTAACGGTACTAGCTAGTAAGCTTAGAGAAGCTACTGCTACAAGCAATAACGCGGAATAATCTAAGAACCCTCGCTGTACACAGCCATTCTTGGCGTGGCTGCTCATTTGCGCGAGCATCAATCTCTAGATGCATTCGTCCACTGAATTCACACAGGTTTCCGTGGAATTGGCCCGTGGTCAATGCGCATGCCTAGTGTCCTGAATCATCCTCACTGACTCTTTCAGGCGACAATACTCTCGAATCACCACCCTGCAGATTGCCACAAATCGTTGCAAATTGTTAGATCTTGAAACTCACGGCAGATAGCCACAAACTACCATGGGGTCCACAAAACTTGACCCAAGTAAACATCAATCAGCAGAAATTCACCAGAAATATTGCATCAACATCAAGCAGCACAATAAGCACTGCAGATCACGGCTTTTCGTGTTGCTGCAAAGAAAAACACATCCAAAGACACATCAGCGCTCCACAAATCACCACAATTAATGCATATTTGCACGAGCCTCCGTCACCAGGACACTCATCACAAGCAGCAATATCATGAATCAATACGAATCAATAAACAAGACACAATTGCTTCTTGGTTGCCGGAACGGGCTTGGCAGACCATGTTTGACTGGGTCAGGTCGTTCCTGTTCCTGTAAATCTCGTACGTGAAACTGCTGTGGAGGTTCCAAAGGCACGGACTGTGAACATGGTCTATGAATTGTGCTGATGTCCTCTCAGTTCTGAATTGCACAACCAGTTGTGGCAGGTGGTGCAGCACGAGGTGATTAGACAAAAGGCCTCTGGAGCAATGCAGCAGCGCATTATCCAGACAGGTTGGCCTTTTTGAAACAGCAACACAGGATTGTAACATTTTTTGGTCACATTAATTCAATATATATAATTCAATCATTCAATTTCACTGGCAGAGACTTGCACCACACAAGAATGTGTAGAATCTGGAAAGGCTGGCAATACCAACGCTCAGCGAGAAAGGAGGACAGGCTCACTGACTGAATCATTCAGTTGGCTTTTGCCCTGAATGTACAAGTGCCATATCCAGGGGATTCAATATCATTCAATTTGCATTTGAGGAAGTTGTCACTGGCATCGCGGAGGCACAACAAGGAGGCACAACTGCAGCATTTTGCAGTCTTCTTGAACTGTCCATGGGTCCTGAGCCTTCAATTACCAACACCTGTAGATTTTTTTTTGCGAGGTATCTATGATGCTCCTGTAGCATCTGTACGGCATGTCAGTCTTCCAACCAACGAGGCCGTGTCGAGCATCGTGGAGGAAGGGACACTCAACAGAGGGAGAAGCTAATGTATAGAATGCACTCGGAGCACAAACCCTGAAAGGTTGCAGATTTGGATGCTCTCCAACTAAAAACATTGAACAGCTGTAAGTTGTATTGGACACACTTTGCAGCTTTTGCTCGTTGGAAGCTCCATGAAGCTTAATTGGTGCAGAACTTTGCAATCAGTATGTAAAAGCTAATCAAACATATGCATGCTGCAACATCGGAACTGAAGAGGATTTCTTGTCAGGGCGGCAGCCACACCCCAAACCTATCTCACACTGTCTTGGCCGGCGAAACCAATGACCCATGTCGCTGTACTACGTTTCATTTTTTTTAAGGCGACAGCAAAGTATATTCAGCAAAGAAACAACACACGCTTCTTTAAGTATCTTCAAAGAAACTGCCAAGGTGGAGGTGTCTGCGGTCATCACAGAGCAGTCAGTTTCCCACGAAGCTCCGGTGGTCCGAGCACGAGAGTTCAACGGTTTCACATTTCATCTTGAAAGGAAGCAGGTCGTGCTGCCCTCATTCTTGAACCGCAAGGTCACCACCGTCAACCTTAAGCCTGGTATGTTCGCCCAGGCCGGCCTTTTTGTCAAATACCATGCTGCTTGTTTCCTTTTCTTTTTTTAGACCTTTCTTTTTTTTATTCCCTTTTATGTATTCTTGTTTCAAAATGGAACTAATGATACCGGCAGGCATCACCCGGTGCTCGCTCGGAGGCGGGATCAGAGTTGAAAGTCTTTGGAGCAGTCGTACTTGGAAAAACTCTGGAGGGTGTTGCAGCTGCGCGGTCATATGCTGTGCTGAAAGCTCAGAGGACTTCGTCGCAAAAGACGAAGGATGTTGCAGTTTCTTTCGGTCTTGATAGCTCAGATATCTGATGCATGACACTCATTGGTCATTGGTCTAGCAGTTCTCAAGTTCCCAGAACATACTTGTCAGGGCGCCTGGTACTGTTGTCCAACAGTGTGGCGAAGCAATGCTTCTCCAGGACAGGTGCTTGATACGAGCCCCCCCACTACCAGTGCTGGATATTTGGTATCGGGAGTTTCATAGAAGCAGACTTCAATCATCCTTGGCATGTGGAAAGTCCTTGAAGGAACGGCTAGGGCTGCCAGAAGATTCCGCTTGCGCAGGAACCACAGATTGGATCTGGGACCATAACCTACAGCGCTCCTGTGACGGGATACGGAGTTGCAGCTGCGCATCTCAGCATGCACCAAGACTTTCTGTGCACTTTGTTTGCAAATCCGGCCGGGTCGTTGGGACCTTGCTTGCAAGTGCCAGCAATGTCCGTCCCATTTTGCACAAAATAATTGAACGTCCAGTTGAACGTACAGTTTTAAAACATGCGGTGCGATGTCCAGTGGCTGCAATTCGGTTTCAACAATTATGCGCAACGGTTGTATAGCAGGTGAGAGAGTCATTTTGATTCAGAACTTGCTGTGATTGTGCTTGCTGCAACAGAAGGATGGAAGTATGTGTATCCATATATATATATATAATGATGTTGAGATTCCAGGGTTTGGTTGACATTAACCAACATTAGCTGTAAGGAAGATCAAACTCGTGCAGCCAACCAGCTGCACACACACGAACGTGCCCGCGCGAATGCAGAGCCACCCACTCAAAGCCTTTGCAAGCCCTATTGTAATGATGCGTTGAAGTAAGTCTTAGCCCAAATATGCCCAAATTAAATCAAGTTAAACAATATGCATTGAATGCAGTGAGAATGGGCTGCGCAGTACAATATTTTACTTCACCTGCCGGCCTGCCTGTACCAGAATTCAATTCAATCTTAACATACTTGTCAGGGCGCCTGGTACTGTTGTCCAACAGTGTGGCGAAGCAATGCTTCTCCAGGACAGGTGCTTGATACGAGCCCCCCACTACCAGTGCTGGATATTTGGTATCGGGAGTTTCATAGAAGCAGACTTCAATCATCCTTGGCATGTGGAAAGTCCTTGAAGGAACGGCTAGGGCTGCCAGAAGATTCCGCTTGCGCAGGAACCACAGATTGGATCTGGGACCATAACCTACAGCGCTCCTGTGACGGGATACGGAGTTGCAGCTGCGCATCTCAGCATGCACCAAGACTTTCTGTGCACTTTGTTTGCAAATCCGGCCGGGTCGTTGGGACCTTGCTTGCAAGTGCCAGCAATGTCCGTCCCATTTTGCACAAAATAATTGAACGTCCAGTTGAACGTACAGTTTTAAAACATGCGGTGCGATGTCCAGTGGCTGCAATTCGGTTTCAACAATTATGCGCAACGGTTGTATAGCAGGTGAGAGAGTCATTTTGATTCAGAACTTGCTGTGATTGTGCTTGCTGCAACAGAAGGATGGAAGTATTACTGTACTTTTTTTTGTCCGTCTCTTTTCGGGCTGTGCGATCAAGCGAAAAGCCGCCGCAGATCTTGTGATCTGGGCTGGGAGCACGCGGACCTGAGCTTGCCGTTGAGGAGGAGCTTCCCGTCCGAGATCTTGCCACGAGCCTTGCATCGACTGCACCCAGCCACCATGCAGATCCTGATCATGGTGTGGGTGGCATGACCTTGCCACATGTCGGGCGCCAGCGGCCCGGTGTGGCATGCACTGCCAATGAACTGGTTGAAGGCAGTCTCATTGGTCCTGGCCAGGATGTAGCTCTTGCACTCAGTGCAGCGCAAGTAGGCCTTGTCAAGCTTCAAGTGGTGGGATCCAGGCTGGATGCCGTGTTGTGCTTCAAGGAGATCGTTGATGATCTTGAATCGGGTTTTCTTGGCCTCCTTGGCCAGTTCAGCTTGTGGGCATGGCTTGTTGATGCCCTCCTGGATCTCTTTGAGGAGAGACTTTGAATGCCACATTTGACCCCGGACCTGAATACAATCCACTTGTGTCGCAGAGCCTCAGGCTGTTGCAGGAACTGGGTGAGGAGGTCTTTTTTCTGCTGGATCATGGGAACTTTGGCGGGACTCGTCAAGGTGTCGTGCTTGTGGAGGAAATGAGACTTGTCCCGCAGAAGGATGTCCATGCGCTCGGTGGCAGCGTGCAACACATCTCTGGTGTCTTCATCAAAATCCCGCTGAAGGTCAAGGATCTCTTCTGGCCTGGCCAACAGAGCAGCCTTGAGTGTCTTTGTGGAAGGCCTTGCGGTTGAGGTTGGAGTCGGACTCCTTGGTGCCAAAGAGCAAGAGTCTGACCTGGTCATAGTCCTCATGCTCGCATCTCATAGGCTGCTGTAGGTCCCCAGGCTTGCCAGATGGCATGGTTGAAGCCGGTCGCGCACCTTGTCCCTATGTCCCTGTGTGGAGGGACAAGTGTTTGAACGCATAAAAGAGCGCTCGCTGGTGGGTGGCTGGGCGTATTCCCGTCAGGGACCCAACTCGCTCTTTGTTGGCGAAAGCATATCGTCAACGCTTGGGATCTCTGCAAGTTGGGGCAATGGCAATCGAGCAGGCGTGAGCTGGTAAAGCATTGACTCGACCCTCCAGAACTGACATCGCCAAAGCAAGTGAAAAAAGGTCAAGTCAACTCCACAGAGAGGGCAGGACCGGGCTTGCCCATCAAGACCTGGCGCAGAGCCCTCAAGGAGATTGCCCATGCGGTCACTGGTGTTCTTCTGCATGGTGAGGCTCACCGTCCAGTCCAAGGGGGCCTTTCAAGGTCATGACATCGGTGCCAAGTGAGGCGGAGAAGGCTCTGTGGATCTCCAGCCATCCCATCGTGAGACTGATGTTGCAGTCAGGGATGCCTCCATAGCCAATTAGAGCTTGCCATTGGAGGTCGAATTCATAGTCCAGCGTGTAGCTGGAGAGCTTGAAGCGGCCCGTAGACAACCTGCCAACGGTACTTGGTCTTGAGGAGGAGGTCCAGCGCAGTGTTCCAGCTGATCCAGAATAGGTCAGGCTTGAGAGAGTTCATGTCGAAGACCACATCAACAGATCCAGTCCTCTGCAAACGAAGTCCCCTCGCGGCCATCGCCGGATGTGTTGTCATCGTTGGGGCTAGCCCGTTTGCCTGCGGCCCCCAGGTCATCACAGGGTGGATGCCACCTCGATGGAGTCTGTATTTGATGTGGGATGATCCCTGCCCGGCCTCAGCCTTTCAGGAACCTGTAGGCAAGTGCCGCCTCTCTTGCGACATACTCAGGGTCAGCGCCTTTGATGTCGAAGGAGACATCGTCAACCCAAGGCTGCAGGAGCACTGCTGGGTGTTCACGAACAAGGGCTTTGAGAGGCTTGTAGAGTACTAGCTTGGCAATAGCTGGAGCAAGAAGGCAGCCTTGGAGGATGCCCCGCTGGTAGTGCTTAGGATTGCCTGCTATGCCTCAGCTTGAATGAGGCGGGGACCAGTGTACAGATCCAGGGCCAGCTTCAAGTGCAGAGGCGGATACATGAGCTCAGTGGCAGGCTCAATGCGGTGGTCAAGCGTGACCGTGTCGTAGAAGCACGTCAAGTCGGCAAGACATGTCACGGTGTGAATGCCTTGGCGCTTGCCAATCTCGGCCTTCAGCATTCTAGCAAGGGTGGAAGTATGTGTATGTATGTACCCACATCTATATATATATATATGTGTATATTAATATGTATGTACATATGGCGCCTGGGTACCTACCTTTGATGGTTTTTGATTTGTATTTGCAGCATTTGCTAAACTTTTCCTAGGGTTGAAAATGATTGCTGGATTGTGGTGGTCTTTTGGGGGGGGTGCTATTTTGGGTGGTGCTATAAATGTAAAAGTAACGATATGCCGATATGCGCATTTATTGAAATGCTCTGGGATCAAGGTCCTTAGAGCATTTGGAACTGCAAGGGTCTATCGCAAAATTGCAGAATTCACAAAAGCCTGTAGAAGTTTAAACAAATAAAAAACTCCCAAAGCTGCAGAGCCCAGGACCTAGCCCGAGCCAAGCCAAAGGTTTAGTTTTCAGTTTTGGATATTTGTTTGGAATTCTCGAGGTTTTGTCAGTTGCCCACTACAGATGTACAAGAAATACATCAATGAACAAGAATGCAGCCAATCGTAATGCTGATTTGCAGTTTGTCAATTAAAAACTAAATGTTGTACATACTTCCTCTCACCCTCGACGACTCATGCGTGAAACGTGAGTACAGCGTGTTGCCGTACCACAGATAGACACAAGAAAGTGAACACACTATTGGTTGTAACGTTGAAGCGAAGTATTGGTTTGTAACATATAACCTTTTCCAAGATCTTTTGTAGAACGGATCAACATAATTGTTGATTTAAAATTCTTGTGAAATCACTGTTCAAATCCAAACTTGTAGCCCACATGTCAAAACCCAAATGTTCCAATTAAGAACTGCCGTTACAAAAGCCAGCCGAAGGCTGTTTTGCGAACGATGTGAGTTTTTGGGGGGTGTGGGGAATGGTTGCGTAGTGAGAAGGTAAACCCTTCGCCCTGCTGAGGAGAGCGAAAAAAGGCGTGGTCAAAATATACCCCTACGTTGCCTCGGTTATGCGAATGATGCCACAACAGTTTAGACTAGACTAGCATCTTTCGCATCAACTGGCCACGGTGGCGTTTTGTGGAGTTTTGTAGATTGTCGGTTCGACCGGTTCGAGTGTGACAAAACATCTGTCATTGACAGTGTTTTCGTGTTTGTTAGTCAAGCCACGCATGTAAATAGCAGTGTTTTTGCAGGGTCAGGTTGTCGAAAGTGCGTAAGTTGCGGTGCTTTGCGGAGTTGCGTGAGAGCGTTGTAAGCTACGGCGTTCTTGGACGCAGAAGTGAAGCTGCGTGTTTTTTGCGAGGTTTGCAGGGGGCAATCTCGTAAAATGCATGGGTTTGCGCCGCTGCTTATGAAGAGTTGTCGATGCAGGTATGGAAAGATACTGTTGCGCGCAGAGATCTAGATCTAGACGCAGAGAGTCGAAGTTTCTCTTGGTTACGGTTGGTGCCCTTTTGCGCTCTGTTTGCTCAGAGCGGGGCACCCCTGAAAAAGCGGGCTCTGGCGATAAGACCCGTGACACAGTGACAAAGCAGCGTCTGGAAAAGTTGATTCTCGCACCATGCTACCGTCAGAAATGACCTAAAGGATTCGTTTTTGTTAGTGCCCCTTTGTGCTTTGTTTGGAGGCCGTCTCGGGGCAAAAGAGGGTGCCTTTGAAACGCGGGTTCTTGCGATAGGACTTTGGGCAAAACCGGACATGGCAGATGCACCTTCGAGCACTTTAGTGAATCCTGCGTACGAAGTAGGTATTAGAAGGACGCTACTAGGATTGGTTCCCCGGATCCAGGTACTGCCTACAAGCCTTAAAAGAATTAAAACTATTCAATATACACAAATACGATTGGAAAATACAAACTCACCAGTTGTATTTTTTAAAATACACTTTTGACTTTTTGTATTTTTCTAAAAATACGACCCTAACAAAAATGAAAAATGCAAGCAATATTCACGTAAATTGCCACTTGATACGCATTGATGTGGGTGGGATGGGAAGCTGGCCCCCTTGTCTTTGGAGCAGCCTCTCGTGGTTGTCCGGTAGCATGACCACGTTTCGCTGGTTGTCAAAAAAATGCCGGTGGGTTTTGCCGGTTTGCAGTTCGAGGCTGAAAATTTTCCTTTTTTTTGAAAATACGGTAAAAATACGATTTTCATGGGTTTTTTCAAAAAATACGAAAAAAAAACGAAAACACAGTTGTATTTTTTAAATAAAAAATAGATAAAGGTGCGATTTTTTGTACTTTTCAATAATAAAAATACAAAAACATACCAAATACAAAAACATACAAAAATACAAAGCAAATACAAAAAATACAAAAACATACGACCCGCAAAAAAAATGCAAAAAAACTACGAAAAACATACGACCCGCAAAAAAAATACGAAATAACATACGACCCGGCAAAAAAAATAAAAAATAGAAAATTGCCGAAACAGGCTGCGAAACCAAATTTGTAATTTTTTCGTTTTGCTGACGTGTCGACGAGGGTGTTGGCTGATTTTGCGGCCCGACTGCCTTTGTTTCTATTTTGCCACAGCGCAAAAAGACAGCAAATTCGCGCAAATGCCTCTTGACAACACATAAAAAGGACAACATGATTCAATATTCAATTGGCTTATTGGGTGCTATTTGCATTGTGGCCCTCATTTGAGTATGATATTTGGAAACCAGGGCCAGTTAGGACGTAGAACCATGCAACAAAGTTGCATTTCAGCGTTGTATTTTTTGATTTTTTTTGTATTTTTAATGTTTTTAAGTTTCTTAGCCTCTACCTGGAAGGAGGGGATTCAATACTAGGAGCAAAGGGCATCGCTACTTGGAGCAAGAAGCTACTAGGGGCTGCTGGCCTTACTACTAGTAACAAGAAGCTACTAGTAAAGGAAACTACTAGGAGCATCAGGGGGTCCATGCGGGGGTTGTTGGAGCCTCGTTGGACTTGCTTTGTGCGGCTGCGAGGGCCAGCTTTCGCCCCGATTCACGCCGAACTTCTCAGGTATATGTTTTTTCATTTTTTTTCAATAAAAGCTAGAGGTTTCAACTGTTGCCAACCAGAACCTTTTGTACATGACTTTAAAGGTCCTTTCAGTAGCCTTTCAGCTAATTCTTTTTAAGTCAATAAGACGATTTAGTTGTAAACAGTTTTCTGTTGAAATCTTTCACGTCCTCATTGATGTTGAACTTGTCTCAACTCCATGTATTGAAACAGCTATTGAGTTGTAGCCTTGAAATACAATTTGAAGTCAATGCATGTATTGACTGTGGCTCTGTTTTCAAAAATAAAACATTTGGAAACTCATTGCCGTGCAATAGCAGAACCGTGTCTAAGTTGTGTAAAGCGTGAAGGATAAACGAAACATGTCCTGCACTGTGTGTTCGAGTAAAGTTCCCTAAGGTACTCTGTTTAAAGTTTAAACGTCAATTCATCTGGTAAAACCACATGAAAGGTAGGTACCGGGGGGAACCAAAAAAACATGCCGTCGAAATACGAGGGTTGGTTTGACATTGACTGGCCTGTAATGGAAAACCAAAAAGTCAACTGACCTTGCAATACAGTTCATGTGAAGAACTTGTCCTCATGGTTTGTTTGATTCCTCCTTCCTCACTTCGCTGAACACATTTGTGTCACATGTAACTATTTGGATCAGTTCTTTGATGTTCTTTGTGCCTTTTGTTGCAGTTGTGTATTTGTATTTGATTGTGGCCCAATATGCAACAGGCCCAGCACGTTTTGCGGTGCAGCCACCTGTGGAACTGCTTGGGGAGCTGGCGAAGCTTGGACAAAATCTGTGAACAATATCCGTGTTTTCACGATCGGCTCTGGTTAAAGAGCCTTCTTTCTGCCCAGCATTGTTGCTAGATTCGGAAGAGCTGGTAGTTAAGATTTAGCTCTGACTTTTTGCAGTGTGACCCAGCTGTCACCAGCATCATCAATCTTCGGGCACATGATAACACTGGAAAAAAAGTGCTCGTTACATGCTTCCAGGACAGCCCAGAGCCTTGGTCTGTGGATAATTTTGACTTGCTATGCAAAGTGTGCTGATCATTATGCAAAAAGTCCAAGCATCAACCAGCGTCGTGCGCGCTGCTCTTTTGACTTTCAACTTCAAGATGTCTCTGATTTGTGTCTTGCAGGATGTGTCTGGTGCAAGCACTGCGCGAACTACGCGCTCTGCCCGTGGGGATGCACAAGTGGTTGCCTGGAGCTTGAGTGAACGCAACATCGTATCCCAGAAGGATATCTTTTTCTTGAACAGCTGATCTGTGGTAAACATCAGCGAGAAACACAGTCTGTTGGAACCTTTGCTACTTGCCTGCATGTGCTGTTTTCAACATGCCATCTCTGTGCTGAGACCGAACCGGTGGCTGGTACCATCAACACTCAGTCCACTTTGTGACTTGGCCAGAGAGTTCTTGGCTATTATGCACGACAGCGCCAGATGTTGCATTTGCTACAGTAAATGTGACTCCGTTGTCAAAAACATCACGATAGATGCGACCAATGCAGTGGTGCCATATTGAAATGCTTGTGTTGCCATTTCTTCTTTGTGCAGATTCGGAAAACCATTCCCTCGTTGCCCTGGAATCCCTTGGATGCCGCTGATCCATGAGTTGCAATTCCCCTGCATAGTTTTTTTCCTGTTGCTCAAAAAAGATGCTTTAGTATCTAGTATCTAAAAGTATCCTTTATAGACACAGTGCAACACCACCCAGTCATGGATTGCAAAGTTGGAGGTGGAACGACTATATAACTTCTTTGTTTCTAGCAAGTTGCTGTTTCCAATAGGCTTTTACGGCAGGTGCATGTCAGCCATCACTCCCAAGTCCCAAGGATGACTCAGCCGTTGCACTACTCGTTGGCAGCTGAATGGTCAATGTGTGCATTGTTGTCACACAATGACGATGCCCTTTTCGTTCACGCTTTCAGACAAGTTGCAAGTGAAGATGATTTTGTGCACTCTTCTGGTCCGCTCTCTTCATATTTATATACATATGCACACATATGATATACAAATAATTTAGACTACAGTGACTACAAGGCTTACTGTACTATATAATTTATATAATCTTGGAGTGAGATCAGGATATTGTTGTGTTGTCTTCGGCTACATGTGATTCTGTTTGTGGGACGATTTGGATCACTTCTCTAATCTCGAAGGTCGGCAACTAATTTTGTCTAGGAGGGCGTAAGGGGGCGGGGGGGGAACTTCCTTGAAGAAGGTTCCTAGGTCTTTTGGAAACTTACAGTAATAGCAATGGCCTCCAACCTACTAGCGATGGCCTCCAACCTAAGAGAGGTTCCTAGGTCTTTTGGGATACAAGCCAGAAAACACCCCTGCACAGACCCAAAACTTTCTTTTTTACACGTTTCTTCAAGGTAGCCGGCTGAGCTACAGCAGCTTCCAAAGCAGATTTTTGATAGATCTTTGGGTCGTATCAGGATTCTGTGCTTACTACTGGCTGGGAAAGTTGCGTGTGCAAAGCATTGCAATCCCAGATGTGTGGCCGCAAATAGCGACAATTGAACAGTCTGGTAATTCGGAGAAGAAGGGTGAACAATTGAACGATTGCCATTCAACTTAGATTTTGCATCATCACTTCATATATACACGCACTTCGCTTGAAGCGGCTGCAACTCTCTGAACCCCAGAGACTGGAGACATAGGTGCCAGTCACTGGACATTCGATTGCTTTTGCTAACGCTCCACCGCCTTCTGAGATTTCAAAAAAGACTATGGGCGTGGCTCTTGGCCAAAAATTGTGGCAGGTAGTCGGAGTCGATGGCTTTCAGAGAAAGACAACTGTTTGTATATCGTTGCATCACTCCTGCATTTTGGGTCAACGGGGGGTTTTGCCCGGAAAGCAAACATTTCCGACCACGGAACAGGGTGAGGGGGGGTTGGGGGGGGGCTGGGGACAGTTTCGTTCGTGTTACTAGTTGCGCAAACCGGTTTCTTTGCCAGCGTTGTGACGTTGCATTCGCGGTTAATTCTATCTTCGCGTTGCGCTTTTGGGCGTTGCGATGCGAAGCTGCAACGAGAGCACGTTGAAGGCTTCGCAGCATTGTCAGCCAACATCCAGGGTTGGACTCAATGCTGCAGGCTGTGAAAATACACAGAGAGGCTGTGCAAGACACTTGTCCGCCAGCTCAAATCTACAGTGAGCTGTCATGGCTCAACTGGGAAGAGGACTGATGTCGTGGCGCCTGAGACTGACTGGTCTTTGGATGGTCTTAAAAGTGCACTCGAGTTATCGTCTTGGAGTTCACCAAGTCCCAAGTCCAAGACGATACGTTGAGTATCCCGAAGCCCCAAATTCCTTGTAAATCGCATGGTTTTCTGGCCTTTGCATGTTGCAGTCCGGGCAAGCCCCCGTTTACCCTGCATGTTGTTATCCTGTCTTGGGCTGAGTGCAGGAGTGTTGAAAAGAACAGTTGAAAAGAGGCCTTCAGTCGCTGCTTGACCCTGTTGCTGAGTCGCGCCCGTGGCCGTGCCAGCATCCTTGCACCGTTTTGCAGCCCAGAAGAACCACTTGCAATCTACCAACTGGGCATTCATGTCCCGAGAAAGCAGCTCACGGCTTGTGCAATCAGGAATGGCTGGGACCTCCCGAAACAGCAACTGCCTGCAGTCTCTATTGCGCTGGCTTTTGGAACGCTAGTCTTTGTATGGTCCGAAGTGTCCCTAGGATCAACTTGTGGACACATTTGGAACAGGACTAGCCACGTAGTCATGACAGACAAAAGCCATGGAGTTGGAGGCATCAAAGCGTCAGACAGGACTGCTTTGAAAATGGACGAACGAAGAGAGGGTACAAGAGACGTGCCCCTTATTAGAAGAATGACTAGCAATCCATGTTGCAGCTGGGCAGCCCTACACACGATCAAAAAATCCCGCATAGTAGGATAGCGAACTGGCTCACAGTGGTGGATGATCGTTTGCGATCTGTTGTCAAGCCACAGGCCTGTCCCTGAGTGCATTGTATTTTGGCAGATGTCATTGGAAGAGATCACAAGATCCTCTCCCAGATGTACGGACAACCCTGCAGGTTGGGGCAGAGAGCACTCCTTTGGGCATAGTAGCGGCACCGGCCGCAGTGCTTTGTGGCCTTTTTGGTGCCACCCTGCTGGGTGCCCTGTCGTACCGCCGTAGCGCTAAGCGAATGGCACAGGCGCTGGAGGCCGTTTTGCCAGCCTGGATGCCTTCTTCTATTTTTGCATTTTTTGAATTGAATATATTGAGGCGGTCTGACTTTGGAGTATTCTATGTTCTATGTCTGATCCTACCTGGACATGGACATTTCGTAGTTTGGTAGTACAATATATAGTACAATGCTGCCACTGTGGATTTTGTCTGAACGCTTGTGTGGTATACTTGCTTCCGTGCGGTTCGCCACGGGATTTTGGTTCGACTTGGAGGCAACGGCCGCTCCGATTTGTACTCCGACGCCTGCAGCTGGCGTAGCAAGCGAAGCGGGACCAGCTATGGGCTCTACAGGCCCTACACGTGCGCCCAGGGCCTCCGATTTCTTGACGAAAGGAGAAATAATGTATCTCTTCGTGGTGCCAGGCCTGGATTCTGTCTTTTTGCAAGCACTTTATATTTTTCCCTCGTCCCAGAATCCAAACGATTCCTACCTAAATATCTAGGGCACTGGTAATTGATCAGGCATCGGTGCAACAGCATTGGCTGGAGCATTGGGGATGTTGGGCCGATGGACGCTGCAAGTGGACAGTATGGAAGACGCAGTCAGGCAGTTGTTGCTAGGCTCCATCTTGGGGTCTTGAACGCTACAGTGACAATCAAGGAAGAAAAGGATATGAAAAAAAGACATCCTTTCGCGCGTTATATAAAACTTTTTTTAAAATTTATTCAATCATTTTCACTTTGATTACAATACAACCAAAGTTCCTGAGACAGCCAAACGCCTGCATATTGCCCTTGCCTAGGTGTGCAGATCTTTAGGCCTTAGGGCCTTAGGCATCCAAGATGTAAGCAATATTAAGCAACGCAAGAAATCACATGACATGCACCTTCAGGCCACCGTAGGTCAATGTCTTGCTCAACACCTATATAGCAAAAGAGTGCGTTAATGCATACATGTATATAACATATATAAGCAGGAGGATGCAGGATGACACAGTAATCAGGAATGATAGGGGTAGATGGAATGTTGACAGGCCAGCCCCTGGTTCAAACAAAGCGTAGAACCAAGTTGAATGAAGTGGAATCGTCTTGTTTACTCAGATGGTCATTCAAAACCAAGTGACCCTGCTTGACCAGGGACGTTGTCGATTGCGCGCATATAACATTGCTGATTACGCATCCCTTGCTCAAGAATGAGCGAGTTTGGTAGCAAGATGTAGCACGTCTATGTACTAATGACAAATCCCTGAGAATCGTTGATTGATTAGGATCAATTGATTGATTTTGGTGCTTGGAAAATCAATTGGAGCAATTGATTTTTCAGGTATGAAAATCAAATAGAAAAACATATGTTTTCAAAGCTCCAAATCAATCACAAAATCAATTGCAAAATCAATTCAAAATCAATTGCAGAATCAATCAGAAAATCAATTGTAAAATCAATTAGAGGTCTCCCTTTTTCTTGACGCTCAATATGTCCAGGAGCTGCTGTACAGGCTGTACATGCCTTTCCCAAGGCAGTTTAGGTAGACCTTTTCCAAGGTCAAGCAGGCTGTACATGCCTTTCCCAAGGCAGTTTATGTAGACCTTTTCTAAGGTCAAGCAGGCTGCACAGGCCTTTCCCAAGGCAGTTTATGTAGA